TTGTCCTGGAGAAGAGGGTACTCCATCTTGGTCCCTGCGTCCACTGTTTTGTGTGTGGGCCAAGTCCATGCTGCTCCCCATGCCCTGGGGACATCCCACACCGTAAGTATCACCCACCTGGAACCTCCATTACATATTATAATGTGCGCCTATGCTGGTATTTCCTTATTAAATTCTTCTAACGAGACACTCTCTCAGTTTATGACGAAATTATATAAAGGCCAAGAGTTAGTGTTGACAAAGGGATGCAGTAGGTAAATGAAGGGGGGTGATTCTGATTGTACATAGATGTAGACAGATGGGGAGATAAATGTTAAGTAGATGTAGGTAGATGATGGAGAGTGATAGTAGGCAGATGTAGGTATATGTAGGTAGATTGGAGGGATTCAGACAGACAGACAGACAGACGGACAAACAGACAGACAGACAGGAAAAAGAATAACATGATATATACTAACTAAAAAAATACTGTGCATGACATAAAATTGCATAAAATTAAAAGTTGTAAAAAAATAACTCTAAATATACATGTATCAAAGCATTGTGCATGAATTTTGGTGTCCAGCGAAACACGATCTCATCTCTATGGAAACGTTTTCAATATAATTGGAATACGTAGAACCGACTGAGGGAGCACAACATCCGGCCTCGACGGCCTGTAATACGTCCAATCTTGCTCCAACGTCACCGTCAGGCACGTCTTGCCTGGTGCAGACAGCATCTACGGTAAAGGAGAAAGACGTTTACTTTCAAACACACAATCAGCCACTGACGTTAACTGAATTGGGACAAGCGTTGTTTCAGACATGGAACAACATTCCCATAGCAGTCTTCAATCGCTTAGTGTCGTCTGTCCGTCGTCGTTGTCTAACCTGCATTAGCGTCAATGGTGGACACACACGATACTGAATCTTTGACACCACATCTCTTCAAGGGCGTGCCACAAAGCCTTGTGTCAAATCATACAGATATCGATATTATCCTGTCAACAGTTTAACAGTGATTTGGGAAAACACCACATATAATGGTATTATCTATTTGCATTTAAAAACTGGCAAAACATCAAATATTGCAGTCTCTTTATTCCAGTAGTATAGATCTGGGTTTTTTTAAATATTTATAAAAACATTTTCTGTTTTCTCTTCAAGCTTTGAGAAGACATGCCCGCTAAATACGTTCAGTCCAGAGACCTAACTCAACATCACCAAATGAATTAAAGATGGTCAGAGCGTATCTCTTGCAGTCATCAGGTGTTTTGTTTATTTTACACCGAGTGAACTAATAAGGAGGATGTACTTGAGGGGTGTGTTCAGGACCATAGTTAGAATATAGTTTAAAGTGCTGGCTCTTCAATTACCTCAGGGCAGTCATCACCTGCCAGGAGGTTTGGGGTGAGTGAGTTTAGTTTTATGCCGCACTCAGCAATATTCCAGCTTTATGGCGGCGCTCTGTAAATAATCGAGTCTGGACCAGACAATCCAGTGATCAACAGCATGAGCATCGATCTGTGCAATTGGGAACCGTGTCAACTAAGACATGTGTCAACTAAGTCAGCGAGCCTGACCACCCGGTCCCGTTAGCCGCCTCTTACGACAAGCATGGGTTACTAAAGATCAATATTCTAACCTCGATCTTCACGGGTTCAGGACGTTTGGAAGTATGTTCAAAGAATAAGTGAGTGAGTGGGTGGATTTAGTTGAACGCCGCTTTTAGCAATATTCCAGGACACCAGAAATGGACTTCACACATTGTACCCATGTGGGGAATCGAACCCGGGTCTTCGGCGTGAGGAGCGAACGCTTTAACTTCATGGCTATCCCACCGCTCCTGAGAAAGTAACAGGGTGAGGTGAAATTGGGTTTTACGTCGTACTTGATAATATTTCGCTCATATGACGACGTGCATGCATGTGTATGTGTATGTGCGGCTGCTTGTACTAGCCCAGACTGAAGCTGGTTTTATAGTGCTAGCCCACTGAGATACCATGCCGCAGTGAAGCATGAATACCCCACTCAGACACATTATACTGACTCCGAAGCGACCAATCCTTGTTGTACCCATTAATGCCGAGCGCCAGGCAGGGACCAACAAGTACCATATTTTAACGTCTTTTTGGTATAACGCGGTCGGGGATCGAACCCGCGACCTTCCGCTCTCCGGGCGGACGCTCTTACCACTACACCACGGATTCGGTCAGGAAGTAACAGGCGTCTCGAGGTACATCCTGAAGAAAAAGCAGCAATATCTCGGGCAGCAATGTAATAGTGATTTTGCTCTAATTCAGTGTAAACTGCAAAGCCACATCCTACTCCATTTGGACAGATTATTCTGTGCCTACCAGATTTAAGTGTATCTTCGGTGTTTTCGAATTGTTAAGAACCTATCAGTTGCTGACCATGTGACACTCATGTGCACAAAGTTCTTTCACACATAGATTCCTGCTATTCTAGGCTGACATTGGTTTTTAATAGCTGGACGAGCAGGCATACATTGGTGCTTGTGCTGACTGGTCGGTCTCCTGTGGCTGCTTGTGTTGATTGGTGGGTCTCCTGTGGCTGCTTGTGTTGATTGGTGAGTCTCCTGTGGCTGCTTGTGGTGATTGGTGGTTCTCCTGTGGCTGCTTGTGTTCATTCGTGGGTCTCCTGTGGCTGCTTATGTTGATTGGTTGGTCTCATGTGGCTGCTTGTGCTGATTGGTGGGTCTCCTGTGGCTGCTTGTGTTCATTGGTGGGTCTCCTGTGGCTGCTTGTGTTCACTGGTGGGTCTCCTGCGGCTGCTTCTGCTGATTGGTTGGTCTCTTGTGGCTGCTTGTGCTGATTGGTGGGTCTCCTGTGGCTGCTTGTGTTGACTGGTGGGTCTCCTGTGGCTGCTTGTGTTCACTGGTGGGTCTCCCGTGGCTGCTTGTGCTGATTGGTGGGTCTCGGGTGGCTGCTTGTGTTGACTGGTGGGTCTCCTGTGGCTGCATGTGTTGATTGGTGGGTCTCCTGTGGCTGCTTGTGTGCATGGGTGGATCTCATGTGGCTGCTTGTGTGCATGGGTGATCTGCTGTGGCTGGTTGTGTGCATGGGTTGATCTGCTGTGGCTGCTTGTGTTGATTGGTGGGTCTCCTGTGGCTGCCTGTGTGCATGGATGGGTCTCCTATGGCTGCTTGTGTGTATGGATGGGTCTCCTGTGGCTGCTTGTGTGCATGGATGGGTCTCCTGTCGCTGCTTGTGTGCATGAGTGGGTCTCCTGTGGCTGCTTGTGTGCATGTGTGGGCCTCCTGTGGCTGCTTGTGTGCATGGATGGGTCTCCTGTGGCTGCTTGTGTGCATGGGTTGGTCTCCTGTGGCTGCTTGTGTGCATGGGCTGATCTGCTGTGGCTGCTTGTGTGCATGGATGGATCTGCTGTGGCTGCTTGTGTGCATGGGTTGATCTGCTGTGGCTGCTTGTGTGCATGGGTTGATCTGCTGTGGCTGCTTGTGTGCATGGATGGATCAGCTGTGGCTGCTTGTGTGCATGGATGGGTCTCCTGTGGCTGCTTGATTGCATGGGTGGGTCTCCTGTGGCTGTTTGTGTGCATGGGTGGGTCTCCTGTGGCTGCTTGTGTGCATGGGTTGATCTGCTGTGGCTGCTTGTGTGCATGGGTGGATCAGCTGTGGCTGCTTGTGTGCATGGGTGGATCTGCTGTGGCTGCTTGTGTGCATGGGTGGGTCTCCTGTGGCTGCTTGTGTGCATGGGTGGATCTGCTGTGTGCTGGATCTGCTTGCTTGTGTGCATGGGTGGATCTGCTGTGGCTGTTTGTGTGCATGGGTGGGTCTCCTGTGGCTGCCTGTGTGCATGGGTGGATCAGCTGTGGCTGCTTGTGTGCATGGCTGGATCAGCTGTGGCTGCTTGTGTGCATGGGTGGATCTGCTGTGGCTGCTTGTGTGCATGGGTGGGTCTCCTGTGGCTGCTTGTGTGCATGGATGGGTTTCCTGTGGCTGCCTGTGTGCATGGGTGGATCTGCTGTGGCTACTTGTGAGCATGGATGGATCTTCTGTGGCTGTTTGTGTTGACTGGTGGATTTGCTGTGGCTGCCTGTGTGCATGGATCTGTCTCCTGTGGCTGCCTGTGTGCATGGATGGATCTGCTGTGGCTACTTGTGAGCATGGATGGATCTGTTGTGGCTGCTTGTGTTGATTGGTGGATCTGCTGTCACTGCCTGTGTGCATGGGTGGGTCTCCTGTGGCTGCCTGTGTGCATGGATGGGTTGCTGTGGCTGCCTGTGTGCATGGATAGGTTGCTGTGGCTGCCTGTGTGCATGGATGGGTCTCCCGTGGCTGCCTGTGTGCATGGATGGGTTGCTGTGGCTGCCTGTGTGCATGGATGGGTTGCTGTGGCTGCCTGTGTGCATGGATGGGTCTCCTGTGGCTGCCTGTGTGCATGGGTGGATCTCCTGTGGCTGCCTGTGTGCATGGGTGGGTCTCCTGTGGCTGACTGTGTGCATGGCTGGGTCTCCTGTGGCTGCCTGTGTGCATGGATGGGTCTCCTGTGGCTGACTGTGTGCATGGATGGGTCTCCTGTGGCTGCCTGTGTGCATGGATGAATCTGCTGTGGACTGCTAGTTGTTAGTCCACTCACACTGCATGCAGCAGTTCCTCACTCACACACATTACACTGGTTCTAAGTCGGTCGTCCTTGTTTATCTCCTTAAAGACGAGAGCAAGGTAGGGCAAGATTTACCATCTTCTGATATCCTTTTGATATGATGCTGCCTGGGATCAAAGTGCTGACTTCCTGTATCCATGCACACCCATTATCAGGATGGTGGGGTAGCCTAGTGGTTAAAGCATTTGCCCGTCACACCGAAGACCCGGGTTCGATTCCCCAGACGGATACAATGTTTGAAGCCCATTTCTGGTGTTCCCTGCCGTGATATTGCTTGAACATTGATAAAAGCAGCGTAAAATTAACTCACTCGGTCACAACTATTATCAACTAGACCACAGAGAAGACAGACTGTAAGAGATAAACTATAGTGTTATTATAAATATGTTTATTACATAAACCCTGGGTTAAAGCCACACATCACACACAACCTACTGACATGCTATTTCATCATTCATTTCCATCAAGAAACATAAAATGGTGGTATTGTTTAATTTTGTTACCATGGTGATTGTTCCATCTCTGCAAGATTGCCAAGGTAACCATCATCTGCTATCGTAATCTGTATGAATTTTCAGTCAACAGCTGTATCCATGGCAACAATGTTCATCTTGCAATCATGATAACCATTTGCCACAGGTCACAATGCTAAACAGTCGTTTCCGGTTGCCATGGTAACTAATTTCTGCGGAATCATTTCCATCATGACACAACGCACATGCTCTGTTTTTCAGTTTGTGATAGTGTTCCTTGTGATGCGTGTGTTTCCTGTATTTTGCCTAGAATGGTGGTCTGGCCAGGCTGTGGAGTCCTAATGACTGGAGCATTCCAGTCCGGAGGTGCTTCCTTCCTGTACTCCCACACATCATTGCCACGGGCATTCGACAGTCTCTCCTCACGCCTCTCACGCTCATGCTGCAGAATCTTCTCCTGAAAATGGAGAATATACAGAAGCAGGGATTTCCTTGGATCTATCTAATTCTGTATCTTAGTGACTGAGTGTGCGTCAGTACCAATGTGGAGAATAAAACTTGGGTCGTCTGTGTGATGGGTGCATTCGTCACTTGGCTACCCCACCACCCGACAACTAACTAAAGAGTTCTAGGGTGGGGAGCACAAACAAATAGCATTGTTCATGTCTTTATGAATAAAGAAAATAAAATTGAACATTACATAGATACTAGTTTTTTACTTTAGGGATCACGAAAAATGATATGTATTAAAGGGAGAGGGGTCATGAAATATGGTACATGTATGAAAAGGGAGGGTGTGTGTGTGTGTGTGTGTCATAAAAAATGATATACACGCATTAAAAGGGATGGGGGTCTTGAAAAGGATACATGTATTAAAAGGGATGGGGGTCATGAAAAATGATACCCGCATTAAAAGGGATGGGGGTCATGAAAATGATACATGTATTAAAAGGGACGAGGGCCATGAAAACAAATGTTACACATCATGTGGAGGGATTATGTAACAGTCCTATGATCAATCTCTCATTAGCCCTAGAATCCCCAGTACCAGTTGTCTCTTATCTCTTTACACAAGACACACTAAACACACGAGAGTCATGCTTGTGTGTTGATAAAGAGCTCCATCACAACAGCCCTCAAATAATCTAGTTTGAACCGGACAATCCAGTGACTGATATCCTGAGCAATGATACACGACATCCTTTTACGATGAACCACAATCAACCGACAGCCTGGTCACATGATTCATATGGCTGTCTCTTACAACAAGCATGTTAGGTTGCTGGGGACCTATTCTATTGACCCGTGAAGATCCGGGTTAGAATTGGTCTTCAGCAATCCATGCTTGTTGTAAGAGGCGACTAACAGAATCTGGTGGTCTGGCTCGCTGACTTGGATGACACATGTCATCGTATCCCAAACTAAACGATCTAGTCACAAATAGATGACAATAGATCTGCACAAAACGGGGGAGTGGTTGAAGCAAGCCCTCTGATTGGTTGACGCTTGTAAATCTGCACATTCTTTATAAATCCGGAGGAATTTTGAATTTCATCGCCTGCTTGACTTGGAAATGTAAGAATTTGTTTCCAGCAATGGCTTCTCAAAAGAAAAGCAACTGCTGTAAATGTCTCCTTAACAAGCGTCAACCAATCAGAGGGCTTTGCTTCTACCACAATCCTGTTTAGTGCGAACTTATCGTCATCCATTTGAGACTAGATCGTTTAGTTGAGGGTCAAAATCGGTCTTCAATCGACTTGCAGAAATAACAATAAAGAATTGGTAGGTGTCATGAGATGTGATCGATAGGCCAATCATCAATGATTGTGTTTACATTAAGTTTTAATCGATTGCATGCAATGGCAGCATACCAATCGGCAAAGCAGACCGGTGGGGTACACTGAAGTGTCCAGCCTTGTCATGATGCATTGTACTGTGAACCATTTTCAGTTGGGGGTCATCTCAAAAAAAGATTAATCTTTAATCCTTGCAAAGACACAAGGGCCTGTGCTCACCACAACTTCTTCTGATGGAGCCTGGCGAAACGCCATACAGTTCTCATAATCCTGCTTCCATTTCTGACAGTCCTGCTTCGTACCATGTATGTAGTACTGGTGGAACCTCCCACCTACACCTGTAACACATAAACAGCGAGAGAGCGGGTTTAGTTTGATGACACTTTTAGCAATGTCCAGCATTATTACAGTGGTGTGAGTGAGTTTAGTTATACGCCGCTTTTAGCAATGTCCAGCAATATTACGGTGATGTGAGTGAGTGAGTGAGCGGGTTTAGTTTTACAACGCTTTTAGCAATGTCCAGCAATGTTACGGTGATGTGAGTGAGTGAGTGAGCGGGTTTAGTTTTACACCGCTTTTAGCAATGTCCAGCAATATTACGGTGATGTGAGTGAGTGAGCGGGTTTAGTTTTACGACGCTTTTAGCAATGTCTAGCAATATTACGGTGGTGTGAATGAGAGGGGGTTTAGTTTTACGACGCTTTAACCAATGCCCAGCAATATTACGGTGATGTGAGTGAGAGAGCGGGTAGAGTTTTACAACGCTTTTAGCAATGTCCAGCATTATTACGGTGATGTGAGTGAGAGGGGGTTTAGTTTTACGACGCTTTTACCAATGTCCAGCAATATTACGGTGATGTGAGTGAGAGAGCGGGTTTAGTTTGATGACACTTTTAGCAATTTCCAGCATTATTACAGTGGTGTGAGTGAGTTTAGTTATACGCCGCTTTTAGCAATGTCTAGCAATATTACGGTGATGTGAGTGAGAGAGCGGGTAGAGTTTTACAACGCTTTTAGCAATGTCCAGCATTATTACAGTGATGTGAGTGAGAGGGGGTTTAGTTTTACGACGCTTTTACCAATGTCCAGCAATATTACGGTGATGTGAGTGAGAGGGGGTTTAGTTTTACGACGCTTTTACCAATGTCCAGCAATATTACGGTGATGTGAGTGAGAGAGCGGGTTTAGTTTGATGACACTTTTAGCAATTTCCAGCATTATTACAGTGGTGTGAGTGAGTTTAGTTATACGCCGCTTTTAGCAATGTCCAGCAATATTACGGTGATGTGAGTGAGAGGGGGTTTAGTTTTACGACGCTTTTACCAATGTCCAGCAATATTACGGTGATGTGAGTGAGAGAGCGGGTTTAGTTTTACGACGCTTTTACCAATGTCCAGCAATATTTTACGGTGATGTGAGTGAGAGAGCGGGTTTAGTTTGATGACACTTTTAGCAATTTCCAGCATTATTACAGTGGTGTGAGTGAGTTTAGTTATACGCCGCTTTTAGCAATGTCTAGCAATATTACGGTGATGTGAGTGAGAGGGGGTTTAGTTTTACGACGCTTTTACCAATGTCCAGCAATATTACGGTGATGTGAGTGAGAGAGCGGGTTTAGTTTGATGACACTTTTAGCAATTTCCAGCATTATTACAGTGGTGTGAGTGAGTTTAGTTATACGCCGCTTTTAGCAATGTCCAGCAATATTACGGTGATGTGAGTGAGAGAGCGGGTTTAGTTTTACAACCCTTTTAGCAATGTCCAGCATTATTACGGTGATGTGAGTGAGAGGGGGTTTAGTTTTACGACGCTTTTAGCAATGTCCAGCAATATTACGGTGATGTGAGTGAGAGAGCGGGTATAGTTTTACGACGCTTTTAGCAATGTCCAGCAATATTACGGTGATGTGAGTGAGAGGGGGTTTAGTTTTACGACGCTTTTAGCAATGTCCAGCAATATTACGGTGATGTGAGTGAGAGGGGGTTTAGTTTTACGACGCTTTTACCAATGTCCAGCAATATTACAGTGATGTGAGTGAGAGGGGGTTTAGTTTTACAACGCTTTTAGCAATGTCCAGCATTATTACGTGGTGTGAGTGAGAGGGGTTTAGTTTTAATGACGCTTTTACCAATGTCCAGCAATATTACGGTGATGTGAGTGAGAGAGCGGGTATAGTTTTACAACGCTTTTAGCAATGTCCAGCATTATTACGGTGATGTGAGTGAGAGAGCGGGTTTAGTTTTACAACGCTTTTAGCAATGTCCAGCATTATTACGGTGGTGTGAGTGAGAGGGGGTTTAGTTTTACGACGCTTTTACCAATGTCCAGCAATATTACGGTGATGTGAGTGAGAGAGCGGGTATAGTTTTACAACGCTTTTAGCAATGTCCAGCATTATTACGGTGATGTGAGTGAGAGAGCGGGTTTAGTTTTACAACGCTTTTAGCAATGTCCAGCATTATTACGGTGGTGTGAGTGAGAGGGGGTTTAGTTTTACGACGCTTTTACCAATGTCCAGCAATATTACGGTGATGTGAGTGAGAGAGCGGGTATAGTTTTACAACGCTTTTAGCAATGTCCAGCAATATTACAGTGATGTGAGTGAGAGGGGGTTTAGTTTGATGACACTTTTAGCAATGTCCAGCAATATTACAGTGATGTGAGTGAGAGAGCGGGTTTAGTTTTACAACGCTTTTAGCAATGTCCAGCATTATTACGGTGGTGTGAGTGAGAGGGGGTTTAGTTTTACGACGCTTTTACCAATGTCCAGCAATATTACGGTGATGTGAGTGAGAGAGCGGGTTTAGTTTTACAACGCTTTTAGCAATGTCCAGCATCATTACGGTGGTGTGAATGAGTGAATTTAGTTTTACTCCGGTTTTAGCAATGTCTAGCAATATTACAGTGATGTGAGTGAGAGAGCGGGTTTAGTTTTACAACGCTTTTAGCAATGTCCAGCATCATTACGGTGGTGTGAATGAGTGAATTTAGTTTTACTCCGGTTTTAGCAATGTCTAGCAATATTACAGTGATGTGAGTGAGAGAGCGGGTTTAGTTTTACAACGCTTTTAGCAATTTCCAGCATCATTACGGTGGTGTGAATGAGTGAATTTAGTTTTACTCCGCTTTTAGCAATGTCTAGCAATATTACGGTGATGTGAGTGAGAGAGCGGGCTTAGTTTTACGACGCTTTTACCAATTTCCAGCATTATTACAGTGGTTTGAAAGAGTGAATTTAGTTTTACTCCGCTTTTACATATTCCAGCAACATCCCAGCAGGGGACACCAGAAATAGGCTCCACCCATTGTACCCATGTGGGGAATCGAACCAGGGTCTGCTGCGTGACGAGTGAATAAACCTACTTCTTTGGCATGACAAGCGAATGCTTCAACCATTAGAGGCTACCCCACCCCACCACAATACACACAGAGAGACTTACAAAACAATTTGAATTCTGAGTGAGTGAGTAAGATTTTACACCGCTTTTACCAATATTTCAGCAATATCACTGCGGAGGACACCAGAAATGGGCTTCACACATTGTACCCATGTGGGAATCGAACCAGGGTCTTCGACGTGCCGAGTGAACACTTTAACCACTACCCCACCGCCCCCATGAACTTTGAAGGCTACAAACTGACTTATAGTCTGTCGCGTCCCTGAACCACATTATTTTCCCTACTTCCAAGCCCTCCCTGCAATGCTAAATCCCTAAATGTCTAGCAAGTCTAGATTTCCTCAGGTTCTGAATTTCCCCATCTCACTGGGGCTCCCTTTCAATTTAACGGGTATATTTGTTTCTATCAAAATTATATATATTCAGGGACTAAGCATAATATAATAATAATAATAATACTTTATTGCCCGACAAAGGAATTCCATTTACAACTGAGGCATACAGCGTGGATAAAACAAATTAAGCAAAGAACAACGATCACCTTAAACACACAAATAAACAGGATGAGAAGGATAACCAGTGTATACTGTAAGAGACTAGTAGTCAAATGCATTTAAAATTGTGGCTAAGTCTAACATTCATTTAAAAGTCTAATGCTAACAGGTATAAAAGATGTTTGGGATCTTTTTGTGCGAACTTTAGGTACGAGGAATCTACGTCCAGATGGTAAAAGTTTAAAACAAGAATATAAAATGATGAGACGGGTCAGATAAAATTTTGTTCACAGACATTAAAACACGATTCTCATACATAAAACAAAGGGGGATAAAGTTCATGCCGACAATTTTTGAACAGATGGTTACAACTTTTTGCAGTTTGTTTTTGTTTTGGAGAAAAAGGGCACCGAACCAACATTGAACAGAGAACAGTAAAATAGATTGGATACAGCAGTTATAGAAAACATTCAAAATGGTATTGTCAATGTTAAAAGATTAGTGTAACTGACTTACTCTCACAGTCCGAATATTCTTCTTTGTAGAGCTCACAAGGTCTCAGCTGAAACATAAAGTGAAACAATTTGAAATAATTTTCATACACAAGGCACAATAATGACAAACTTTATGGATAGCAACTTCTTTTATTTCGTGAGCGTGACATTTTGACACAGATTCTTGTACCGTTGTCCAGCAGGAAGACATGGTCAATATTGTACTTCCCAACTTATGAAATGCCACTCAAAGAAACAAACAAGGTAACAAAAACCTGAAAATGTTATTGTGGGGAAAATGACATAAAGACAAGTTTTAGTTTCTTATAATCACCTGCACCATCGGCATATCTACAATATTTACATACAAAATGAAACATTGAAAAAGCAACAACCGTGTTTTTAGGTTAAGGACACAATTTCTCAGAAAAAGGGTTTTCAAACAATTAGCACTGACTAGTGTTGGGAATCGGAAACGAAATCCACTATCAATTATCGGAGGACTTGTGGTGAATGATTATCGATTATAATCGAAAAACAGTGGACTCTGTCAATACCGGCCTCTGTAAACACCGGCACTCTGTCTACATCGGCACAAAGTTTCAGTCCCGGCAGAAATGCACGTAATTATCATTTAGAAACATCTGTAAACATCGGCATCTGTCTATTCAGGATATCGGCATTGTTTTTCAGTCCCAACGAACAAGTTGTTATGAAAACGAATCTGTAAAAAACGGCACATGAAAGACGGCGTAACCCTTTGATGAGATTAGGTCCAAATGATGTAACAACACAATTCGCTGTGACTCCCGAGATTATTCAGAAACGGGAAGTGTTAATCAGCATCTAGTTAATCAGTGAGTGGTACGTAACACTTACCTAGAGTAATTAATACATGTAGTGGGCAGTGTGACTGTAAAAACAAGCAAGTGTTTACATTTTGTTGATTAGCGGGTATTGACTCCGAGATTATTCAGAAACGGGAAGTGCCAATCAGTTTCTTGTTAATTAGTGAGTGGCACATGTCACTTATATAGAGGCTAATCGTTTGATGGCGGTATCGTTCGAAAGCTCTGAACATCAACAATATCACTGTACTCTTGCCGAGTATTTTCACATTTGTAAGAAGCGATTTTATTGGATAAAGATTGGTTTCTTACGGCGCTTTTCACTACAGTCTGCTTATAAGGGTCGTTGATTGGTCAAAATCAGACCGCGTGACCTAAGCAGCCAATCATATTATGGAAATGGATACCGTCAACGAAAACTTTTAGGCGAAGGTTTTGGGTAAAATAATTCTACATGTATTCTGAACATATTAAGCAAGACATCGCTACCTATACGTAAATTATGGAACTTATTGGGCATATCGTGCTAGGTTATGGCCTAAGACAAAAATGCTTCATGTATACATTTTTGCATTAAGCATAGTGTCCGGGCGTCAAGACGGAGGCTGCGAAAGCCGAGATGTTACTCGCTGCCGAAGCATAAACAAGAATCGTTGTTTTCAATAACATTGCGAAAAATAGTTTATAATATTAATTCTGCCGATAATATGTGATCAGTTGAAATTTAATAAGAGTTTTCAGACATTATTATTTGAATGAATCAACATGAATGTGCATTCAGACACTGCCTTGTTTCTTATTCAAACATCTTAATAATGCTGAACTTCCGTGCGCGCAGGCGTCATAAGCGAACCTAGCTAAACCGGCACTCTGTCAAAACCGGCATTTTTATTTTTTTATTTGGTCCCGACTGATGCCGGTATTGACAGAGTACACTGTATATACATTTTCAATGTAATTACCAATTTTAAGGGTTTTTTCCCAGGATTTTTCAAATTAATGTTTTTTATAAATAATACTGTCATGCAATAAAATGCATGTATGCAAGAAAACACTGGAATTGTAATTAAGCAATAAAAGTGGTTAAAATTTTACAGTGCGCATAGCTTTACGCTGTTGAGCACGTTTGTTCGTGAATATTTTCAAATTTAATGGTTAGTTTATGTTATTCAAGTGTGTTAAACTAAAACATTAAAAAAAAATTCTGATTAATCGAAAATGTTTTTTACAATCGATAATTATTCTTAATCCTTCTTTCGATCGATTTTCGATTATTTCGATCATCAGAACACCACTAGCACTGACTGTAACAAAGTTGTTTCTTTTGGTGTTTAATGCTGCTATAACCAGGCTATTTAGACTTGAAAACTTAACATAAATTTGATAAACATTTAAGGGAAATCTGAAGTTAAGTTAAGGAGGATCAATGCACATGGAAAGTACATTGACTGGAGTAATCAAATCAAATATTGATTCATTTCTCTTGCATATAACAAATAAAATAAGGGAAATTGGTGGAAAGATTGGATCGGGTGACTCATACAGCATTTAGGAAATAAATGGTCAGTCAGGGTGCTAGAAATCAGAAAAGGGACCACAGAAGGGTCAGAATGATTTGATTAAGTAGCTTCTGGTGCCTACCAGTCTGAAATACTATTTTGGTTACATGCTTATAAATGGTTGACAAATGACTTATTCATATAGATGATGCAGTGCTTCTCCTCGCCGAGTGACATTCCAGAGTGACATTTGTGAAAATACAGGATTTCAGCGTCAAGAGCCCAGTGGGACACAGAACTTTTATTGCCCTCAGGACAAAGTGAGTGAGTGAGTGAGTTCCATATTCCAGCAATATCACAGCGGGGGGACACCAGAAATGGGCTTCACACATTGTACCCATGTGGGGAATCGAACCTGGGCCTTTGGCATGACGAGCGAACGCTTTAACCACTAGACTACCCCACAGTCCCTCCTCAGGACAAAGACCAGTGGCACCATGCCAGAGGTCTGACTCCATGGATAGACCTGGGTACCATGGACCTTAGCAGGGCTCCAACCAGTGTGCGAAATAGCCACTGGCCCGCTAGCCCGTGGCTAGTAAACATCCAGTCGGACCAGTAAATCTCAACAGTCAAAGGCCCGACTGGCTAGTGAATTTTCATGGGGTCATTTTGTAAATATATCACACTATATGACTTGTTAAGTTATAATACACTTTTAAATCATGCAACATTAAGGCCTGATAAAAATGTTCATCATATTAGCAGCTTAATGATGAAACCTGTGTCATGCCGACAATATCTTATTCTCATCTATTTTTGTAATCTTTTGCTTAGTTTCTACATTCAAATTTTGTGCTAGTGAATTATTTTGTGGGCTAGTAGCTTTCAGGCATTGCTAGCCAGACATTTGGTCCTAGATACTATTTCACAGGGAACAAAATAGACTGGCTAGAAAGATTTTGAAACTATTTCGCACACTGGCTCCAACCCTAGGAATACTCAGCAGACAACACAACCAACTGTTACCAGATTCCTGAGCAATAACCCGGGAAAGACTGGGTTCCAACCAAGAAGGTGACCAAGCAGAGGTTCCCAATGGAAAGCAGGTAACAGAAAACCCTAATTAACATATTTATTATTATGGGTTATGTTGAAAGGAGGTAGCCCACAAGAACCACTCCACCCCACACCATGGTTTATTTAGGAACTGATAATATATTTACAATATGTAGTCTGTCATACAGACCCTGATTTCATTGGAACCTCAATGAGGATGAAAGCAAATATACATAGCATTCACCCAAATCAGAATACACTGCACCCTGGTTATAATGCCTCTGGTTATAATGCCACCCTGGATATAATGCCATGTTTTTTGCCAGAACGGATTTTCAGCCTATATAATACCCTGGTTATAATGCCAACCTGGATATTATGCCATGCTTTTGCCAGAACGGATTTTCAGCCTATATAATACCCTGGTTATAATGCCACCCTGGGTATAATGCCATGTTTTTTGCCAGAACGGATTTCCTGCCTATATAATACCCTGGTTATAATGCCACCCTGGATATAATGCCATGTTTTTGCCAGAACGGATTTTCTGCCTATATAATACCCTGGTTATAATGCCACCCTGGATATAATGCCATGTTTTGCCAGAACGGATTTTCTGCCTATATAATACCCTGGTTATAATGCCACCCTGGATATAATGCCATGTTTTTGCCAGAACGGATTTTCTGCCTATATAATACCCTGGTTATAATGCCACCCTGGATATAATGCCATGTTTTTGCCAGAACGGATTTTCTGCCTATATAATACCCTGGTTATAATGCCACCCTGGATATAATGCCATGTTTTTGCCAGAACGGATTTTCACCCTGGTTATAATGCCAATTGCACTGTCTGTGTGTAGTATACATACCTTATTTGGTTAATTGACATGACTCAAATTAATTGACCAAACTCATTAATGCTTTAAGTCATGTAATCCCAGATAGGATAACACATGTGACAATACACTTCCTGCCACCTACAACAACATGTCACCTGCAGCCTCAAGATACTGGGATTATCCAGTCATTCAAGGCTCATTACAGGAGACATCAGCTCAATCACCTTGTGATTACACATGGCCTCTAAATGTCCTACCAGGTTATAATGCCACCCTGGATATAATGCCAGATTTTCTCATGGACAAACAGTGGCATTATAACCAGGGTATATTGTACAATGGTTTAAAGGTATTTAAGTGGTGAAGATGTGTTGTATTGTTCTCCAACCAGAAGTAGAAAATCACTGATATTTGAAATTCTCGATATTTAAGTAGAAAATAGAAAATACAACCGTATGGGCATAATGCAACGTTAGAATCTTATAGTCGTCAATAAAAAGAAAATCATCCCATATCTAAAATCAAATCATAAATCAAAACACACCAGCCATATATCTTTTGGCAACGGCTTATCCCAAAACCCCGTGCCTTCTTTGGAAGCTGACATTTTGTTTACTAAAAGTTTGAATTGAAGCGTAACAGAATATTATTGTAACTTTTCTGCGACAAATATTCGGAACTACGCATCAAAATACAAAACGTATTTCAAAAATCTATTAAGCTAACAATAAAAGAACAATATCTTATTTTAATGAATATTTTGGGATATTTCTAGGTAATGGAAGTTACCCACAGACAAATTTAGTTTCGTTTACAAATTATTATTTTTGATCGACCCGAAAGAGGAGGTAACTCTTAAATGTTTATAAAAACAGCTTCATGAAGACGTTTTACTCCTGTCGGTGTTTCTACACAAAGAATATTTTCTTGAAACAGTTTGGCATCCACATTCAATATGATAACAAGAAACAATTCATTTCCCAGTTTGAACAGGTTTGTATGATGCAATGACATGCTAACCAGACCTTGAAATCACCGACACAATTTGGGTAGAGTCAGTAGAGAACTTCGAACTTGGAAGGGGTCCGACAGGCAAACTTACAAGAATCGAGTTTAACCAGTGTCGCTACATATTTTAGCGGTATTTACAAAAGTGAATCATGGCAGTACAAATACATGTTTTCTCATATATAACTGTAACAGCATCGCCATTTCAGAATTCGTAATGTCATTCGTGAAATATATCACATACCGTGCCGTACCATGTTTTCGGGGGAACCATGTTTTCGGTGTATGTCTTTTTCCCGTAACTTCTCGCGTACAGAGAGATGACAGCGCCACCTGTAAACACCGTCTCCAGTGCAGAAGCTTCCGTGGCAACTGGGACACAAAATGTTTGAAATATCCAGCTTTCACTTAAGTTGTGACCTATATTTCTGTCAAAGTACTAAAATTCTACCCTAGAACGTAATGCACTTTCAGAACCTTCATAAATGTGATCATAACTTTTGAAATAAAGCTCGTAACTTGTCAAGTGGACCATCGTCTGCTAGACTGAAAAGCCAAGCATAAACATCAGGTGACTCTAATGGAATGTTGCTGACATAATAAAAAAACTATGGAAGACCGAATTGGTAATCTGTTACATATATTCTTTTTCGTGTTGCAGACTTCGTCTCGGCTTGTGACCACTGGGTTCATTTAAAATACTGCTGCGATGTCACTGTACTGCGCAGACATGACATGTTTTATCATGTTTATTGTCCTTGCCATGGCATGCCAAGAAGAATGAGTGTGCACATGATTGAATAACTTACCTGTAAATATGTTTATTTTCAACAATTTTCACAAAAAACCACTCAAATAATCAAGAAAAAAATGACCAGTTTGCTTGACTTTTCATTACAATGCCATGTTGTATTTGTTGACTTCTTGGGAGATAAATGCATCACCTGGGCTTCCATACAAGGTCGTGACCCGGCGCTATAACAAGTAACCCGAAAACATGGTACGTCACTTCTCGCGCTCGCGCTGGCGGACAGACACAAAAAGTTCACTGCATTGGAAACCAGTGGACGACAGAACATTCTGACAATAAATTTATGAAAGGTGAGATGATATTTAATGACGGAATTACAGTTTTGATAATCTACTGATATGCAATAATTTACATGATCATCTTTTGCGTTATTACCCCGAAAACATGTTACACCATGGTATTTATATCATAAAGTAACCTGGAATGATTGCTGGTGTGACTAGTTGAGTGTTGCTGTTTTTTTCAGTAGATTGATAGGGAATGAAACAATTTAGTGACATTGGTGAACTTGAACTTGCTATTATATCCTCACGTTACCATTTTTCGACGTTCTCCATTATTCGACGGCCGTTATTATCGTGCGATTTTACGAGAACATGTGCAAGGACAGAGGTCACAAGGTGCTGTCAACAACAACAGAACCTCTGCTACTCGTAAAACAAAATCTGGCAAAAATGGAAATACGAAAGGTAGGTTAAACATAAAGGTACACACAACACTGCCTATAACACTGAGATTCGTTATTCCTAAAAAGATCTCACTTCTAATGTCGGATTTCTCTGCTTTGAATTGCTTCAATTCACTCAAAAAGCCAATCGTCTGCTAGCCCAAATAATGCCTTCTGTAAATACACACTTTTTAATGACGTCACAATTTTCTCCAAAACTTAAGCGATGTGTGTGAACCGCTTAGAAAACTGACCTCCAAAGATGTAGAAGGTGCTGGGAAGACATACATGACAAAGCAGTAGAGAGTGTGAAGCAGCTGGTAAGCAATCACCCTGTACTGAAGTTCTTTGACAGCAAAGAGCCAGTCACTCTCCAGTATGATGCATCAATGAAAGGACTGGGTGCTGCACTCCTGCAGAACAGTCAACCCGTCGCCCTCACTAGTAGAGAGCTTACAGATGCTGAAACCAGATATGCCCAAATAGAAAATGAACTCTTAGCAGTTGTCTTTGGCTTGGAAAAGTTCCACCAGTACACATACGGCCGACCGATCTGTGAGTGTCCAATCCGACCACAAGCCACTGGAAGTATTAATGGTTAAACCATTACACAAGGCACCGAAGCGCCTGCAACAAGAGACCATATAATAGAGGGACGGCCTTCTCCAACAGTTTATCACTAACCATCAGCGCTACGGCCTGGCATGTAACTGATACACATCGACACCCTGCTGCTAACTTCCCTCTACCGGTACACATGCGCAACAGATGCGCAAACATTCGCAAATGAGCACTCTGGTAACCACGTAAACAATATTGCGTAATATCCGGGTTGAGAGTTAATTCCCTTAGCGGGATTTCACCGGCTGCGACTGACAGTCAAACATTACATGGACAGCTCCAATAAACTGATTACAATAATCTTAATCTTTATCTTATCTCTTTTTTGCACATGTCAGCTGACAACATCGCTGAACATGTGTATTATTATTCGCGAAATGCGTGTCGTTATAAGCCCGGAATATCTGTTTTCATACTGGTGAATTGTGTCCAAAATAACAAAGAATTCATCAGCCGAACAACCATCAGAATCTGTCGCTTCTTCCAGGCATGGGGTATCTGTGGGTTCACCGGTGAGGTCTATGAAGAATGACTTCCATGCCTTGTCCCATAGTGCATCTCTTGAACTGAAAATGGAGATACACAATATTAATATTAAAAAAAATAATTTGAAGTGTTCTAAATAGCTGTTAAAATTATGCAATAGTTGGTTGCCAATGCTATTTCAACCAAGCTCTGGTTGCTTACTCAAGATGGGAATATTGTACTTAATAATTTACATTATACCTTTTTTTACAGAAGAAAAGAAACAATATTAATATTTGATTATACAATTGCTTTGATATTTTAAACGTATTTTAAAACACCAATAAAATGAATAAATACCAATAACTACAAAATATCAACACAAAATTACTCTCTTTTTTTCAAAGACATCATTTGTGAATTTCTAACTTCCATTATTACTTACCTGCAATCGCCAAGAACAGTTGATGAATAAGAATGGTCAGAGAGAGAGGAAGAACTGACACCTTGTTGTCTTGGACCCCTCTTTGAGTAGCCCTTCCGACGACTGCTGATAAAAACTTTCTTTTTCCTGGGCATCTGCCAAACAAATGATAATTTATTATATAAATAGTGTAATGATATAAATAAAATGTTGATTCGTTGTTGCATAAAGTCAGGCTGCTGGTACTGTATAATAATATAATAATATATAGCAATATAACTCATAACTTCAGTAGGAAGAATAATGATAACAGAAAAATATATGAATTGTTACATGATAAATAAGGACCCTTTCCACAAATATAATCATCAAAATGAACAATAATGGAAATATGTACTTTTTTTCAAACAATTAGGTGAATGAGACTTTTGTAGAATGATTTAAGTATATATTCGCGTTATATTACATCACTTGCTTGGCTTTTAAGTTAATTTAATAAGATAACACCCTACCCCAAGCCCATGGGTGCATTTACATGTTCATATGACATACGACCTGTCAATGACCTGGGTCTTCAGCAACCCATGCTTGTCATAAGAGGCGACTAACGGGATCGGGTGGTCAGGTTCGCTGACTTGGTTGACACATGTCATTGTATCCCATTTGCGTAGATCGATGTTCATGCTGTTGATCCCTTGATTGTCTGGTCCAGACTCGATTATTTACAGACCGCCGCCATATAGCTGGAATATTGCTGAGTGTGGCGTAAAACTAAACTCACTCACTCTAAATGCCCTTCAAAGATGTGAAACTATCTATTGTTGGTTTAAAGCCAGCACTTCAATATATTGCTCCATGTCATTAATTCTAGCTATTTCATGTTTTAGGTCCTGAGAGACAAGGGTTGCAACACTGAGGAGCAGCTTGAGGATGTGATCCAAAAGGTACTGATGAAGAAGCTATACTACTGGAATAAAGTAACTGTGCATTATTTGATGTTATGCCAATTTTTAATGCAAACAGATTATAACATGACTTGTGGTGTTTTCCTTAATCACTGCTCAACTGTTGACAGGATAATATCAAAATCTGTATGATTTGACACAAGGCATCGTGACACGGCCTTGAAGAGATGTGGTCAGTTCATAAATTCGTTATCAATCATGTGTGCCCACCATTGGTGTTGATGCAGGCTTAACAATGAGGATGCACAGACAACACTACATGACTGAAGAAAGCTTGGGGAATGTAGTTCCCTGTCTGAAACAACGTTTGTCCCAATTCAGCTAATGGCTGTTTCTGGGCTTGATTTAAACATTGATTGGGGACAGCTCCAGAGAAACAGCTGGCCGGGGGAGTACCAGAATGTTCTTCTGTCTCGGGAACAAGCGATATGTGGACGGGCATTATCTTGCTGAAGTGTGAAGTAACATTTCTGTCCTTGAATGATCGGCTGCACATGAGGCCCAATGATCACATCCCTGTTGCCATTGACAATGACAAGTTGTGTCCGACCATGAGATGTGTTGTCTCCCCATACTATAACGAACCACCCCCAAACTGACAATGTTGAACAACACACGCATCAAAATACCTTTCACCTCGCCATCTGTACACATTTACCCAGCTATCTGAGCTCGGAATGGTCCGAGCGGTCAAACTGGCAGTCTGGAATAGATTACCTATATGGGTCAACCGAATATGGTTGTCTGGCAAATCTCTCGTGTTCCAATTATGTTTAAAACGTCTCCATAGAGATGAGATCAGGTTTAGATGGACAGCAAAATGCCTGACCACTTCATTTTGGGCCATTCCAGTCCCCAGCACACCCAAGGCGCGATGAGTTTCTGTAAGCCGTGCCGTAACGTTTGCACAGCTTAGGTTAAAATTAACATTCTATCCACAACATTCAGAATAATCAACCATTCTTAAATTTTCAATATGACTTTGATGAACATCAGGTGTGAAAAAGCATGCAACAAGTTCATTGTGCACAAAGTGCATCCGCCACGCGATATGTGACATCACATTTCATGTAAAGTGCTTTGCTACATGTTTATTTATGGTTATTTTTGTACCTTTTCAAATAATTGTTATTTTATCCAATTTTATGTTATGCACAGTTACTTTTTTCCGTTAGTATATGACCATCTGATCCAGGTTGTCAGTTTTATTTGTACACATGGACCTGCAAATGCAAATATAAACAATCAAGACTCTTGGTAATACTATAATCAACATTCCGTGTCATTGTCATGCAATTACAAACAGTCATATCCGTGAATATCTTGGTTAGAATTTTAACCAAAATCTGACTTACCTAGATCTTGTGGGGAGCTTCTCGCCGATTGGGCATACACTGCTATAAACCAGTATTAGAGGCCTGTGTGATTACAGGGGAGTACCGTATTAGAGGCCTGTGTGATTACAGGGGAGTACAGTATTAGAGGCCTGTGTGATTACAGGGGAGTACATATTAGAGGCCTGTGTGATTACAGGGGAGTACAGTATTAGAGGCCTGTGTGATTACAGGGGAGTACAGTATAAGAGGCCTGTGTGATTACAGGGGAGTACAGTATAAGAGGCCTGTGTGATTACAGGGGAGTACAGTATTAGAGGCCTGTGTGATTACAGGGGAGTACAGTATTTAGGGAACAGAATTAACTGATTTCTACAGTTCAAATACATTTTGAAAATACATATTGAAATGTGCTCTTCATTTGCTTAATTGACATTCAGTGCAAATTTTTCTGCACGTACAACGTGATTATTTCTCCAATATTTTTGTGCGACCACATTATTTTACCCAGATGTGAACTCTCTCTAGTATTTCCTAAACTCTACAAGAACTTATGAAAAATCTTATTCTCCAGTCCTGTAATAATCACTCCCTCTTTCTGTTTAAAATAGCATAAGCATTTTTCACAACTTTGGATTCACACAGAAGTAACACATAGTTTGTTGGCAGGAGATGATGGAGGTTGGGTGTTACTGATATTGTGACAAACAAACAACAAATAGAGTCTGACACACGTGATGAACCGGGTTAGACTTGACCTTCAGCAACCCATGCTTGTCGTGTGAGGCAACTAACATGATGGGTGGTCAGACTCGCTGACTTGGTTGACACATGTCACCGTATCCCAATTGTGTAGATTGATGCTCATACTGTTGATCACTGGATTGTCAGGTCCAGATTTTATTATTTAAAGACTGCCATCATATAGCGAAAATATTCCTGAGTGAGGAAAAAAACAACAAACAAAAAAACATGGTGTCTTGAAACATGGCAGGGGGAACATTTGGCGATTTTATATGTTTCAATATTTAAAAGTTTGTTTTGCACAGATGCTAAATTCATAATAGAAAGTCAATTTCAATAAAGTAGATTTTTAAATTATTTATTTGGATGTAATTTATTGGCGGTATTTGAAAAATGGCAAAAGTGAATTGGTTTTTTTTCCACTTTAGCAAAAATTAGTGTCAGCGGATCCATAAACCAAGTACATAAAAAAAGCGTGGCCTAAGCAATAGGGATGTAATGACCTTGATCTCTGTGGATTGTCTGGTTGAGTCATTTAATGCTGATTGCTTCTAAGAGTTTTCTTATCTTGTTTGCCTGACCGGTTGGTTTCAAAGATGTTGATGATGTTCCAAAGGATGGTCTGATTTGGATGGGCTTGAGTCTTGTCGAATATGTCTGAGTCTCTTTTCTTCAAAGATGCCTGATGTTTCAAGTTTAGGGGTTGGGATGTTTCACCTACGTATGAGTCACCGCAGTCTCGTTGAATGTGGTAGACAACGCCTGGGGGATGTTTGTTTCTGCTTCTTGTAACTTGTTTACCGATGGCTTGTAGAATATGGTGAACTGATGTGCCTCTCTGAAACGCGACATCTGCAAGGGGCTATCAAAAGGTGTTGAGCCTAAAATACTTCTGATATGTGCGTCTGATAAAAATAACTGATATGTGCGTATGATATGTGCGTGTCATTTGCATAAACGTAATATTGACATGCGCAATTCGCTAATTCCAATCACGTGACATCTAATCACATGTACCCCTATTGAAATGGCAGAAATGGATAAGCTTGAGTACAGAGCAGTCATAAAGTTTTTGGTCTTCGAGGGCCACCTGGCGAAGCACATTGAAAAGCGATTAACAGCTGTACTTGTGTGCAGACCCCCATGAGGATACAGATTGTCACAAAGGTGAGAAATGTGCAAACTGTGATGGGGTTGCCTAGTGACAAACAACATGAAGTCACTGCAAAAAGTCATAGGCTGTTTTTTTCATGGGTGCTCACAAGTTGTAGAAAGTCCTAAAGTAATAGGTTTTGATGATTGGTTATTTAACAACTTGTACTTATTGTGTATGCGAAACCTTTCTTGTCACTATATGGCTGAAATAATGAAGATGTGACGTTAAATTTTCACTCACTCGCTCACTCACTCACTCACTCACTCACTCACTCACTCACTCACTCACTCACTCACTCACTCACTCACTCACTCACTCTCACTCACGCACTCACTCACTCACTCACTCACTCATGACAAAGGCTCAAGCTTCTCTCGGAAATCTGTGAACTGATCTACATCATAACAAGTTAGTTTGCCTGGCTGGGAGATGGTGCTGATGTTGTTGCAGAATTCCATGAATACTCCTAGGCCAAATGTAGAGATAACATCATTATCAGGTAATATGATACACCAGGCCTTATCACCCATACTGCATATCCTGATCATGTTCAACACCAGTGCTTGTCACCATCCATTAAACCATGCGGTTAATACTCATGAAGTAAGTCTATGAACATGTGGACACTGTTTCAACAGTGGGGTAAACCTTGTGTGTTTAAGGAAACCTGATACATTCTGTGTCTAGTTCCACATTGACAAGAATCTCTTGAGGGTGGGAGTTGTCATACCAATTACTTGATAATGCCTTCACTGCTGCTGAGAGATCCTAAAAGATAGGGACTTTTCTAACATTTGGCCTAGGACTATGAAGTCAGAAATGAAATATTTTGCTGATTTACCAAGTGGGGCGAGAATGTTATGTGAGAAGGCAGGCCCCGACTTATCTATGTTGGTCAATTGGTCGCGGACAACCTGGGGCCCCTTTGCTCACAATGGCTCACAGTGGGCGGCACTCTGATGATACATGCTGATACGCGTCAGTTGGTCGGTGCTCAACTTATCCTTGTTTGCCAGTAAGGTATCAGGGAAACAACACCACAGTTTTGGGCTTGGGACTAGGTGGAAAAAGGGCAAATTGGATTTGGGACTAGGTGGGAATAGGGGAAAATTGGGTTTGGGGCTAGGTGGGAATAGGGGAAAACTGGATTGGGGCTAGGCGGGAATAGGGGAAATTGGATTTGGGGCTAGGCATGAATAGGGGAAATTGGATTTTGGGCTAGGCATGAATAGGGGAAATTGGATTTGGGGCTAGGGCGGGAGGACACTGAAAATGGCTTGGTTCAGGCATAGGGTGATCTAGGATAGGGAAATCTGAGCTGCTTGAGTAGGGTGGGACTTATCATTTTTTTTATCTCTGAGCTCTGTGAGGATCGCTTTCTGATCTTGTTGTAGGCGGTTGGTGGGGTCTATCTTCTGCTGCTTGTAGGTGGAGGGGTCGTTCAAGATGTGGTTGGTGAGGATGGTGAAGTCGGTGGTGTACATGATGATGATGACTCTACACCTGTCTGCATGGGTGCGATGGTAATGATGGCATCCATTCCAATAAAAAAGGTGTCAACCCATAACTAAATCATCCCTGCCCAGATAGCATTCGGACGTTGACCCAACGTTGGCAATGTTGGCAAAACCAACGTCCGAATACTATCTGGGTGTTCACCATATTAGCTTCTAATACTGTCCTCCCACTCAGAGAAATTAATGTGAATACACAATGCAGAAAGAAATTGGTTTGGAGTATTGATTATTGGTGAAGCTCTAAAAAATATGTGTGTTTGGCATGTTCTGCCATTCTTCAGATCCAGGAGGAGATTGACAGGAGGCAGAGTCTGGGAAGAGCTTCGTTGGCAAGACAGAGAATAATATCTGCAACATACCAACCTCGACATGAAGATATATACAAACTTAAGGTTGGTTTGCTTGTTGTTAGTTCCCAGAAGTGCAATGTGTGAAGCCTACTGTTGGAGTTTGGATAGTGCAGTAATTGAACTATGTCATAGAGTGACCTACATTTGTACAATCTGTGATGCTTATCCGGGGATATTGCCAAGTCCCATGGAAAACTCACTCACTCACTCACTCACTCACTCACTCACTCACTCACTCACTCACTCACTCACTCACTCACTCACTCACTCACTCACTCACTCACTCACTCACAATCACCCTGCAAATTTGCACTGATTATATTTCAGCTTATGTCAGCACCATCCATACTGTGATCATAGCTTAATAAACCTGACATGCCGTGGTTTGACTGAATTTCGATGCTGCAACAATATGGGTCCTGTACTGCCAGTTAATTATAGGGTTCACTCACAGGATGTTTAACAAGGTGTTTCGTTGGTTACCACAGGAAGATTACTTGGCACCAGAGTTCCTGGATCTGGTGGCACAGTGCAAGAGTGAGGGTGTTACAGCAGATGCTGTGATGAAGAGACTCCAGCCTCAGGATGGTGAGTTGCCCATCCAACTTCCAAGATTCTGGTGAACTTGGGTTGTAAGTTATTCAGGACATCTTCCAGTTATGGGGCAATGGGGTAGCCTAGTGGTTAAAGCGTTGGCTCGCCATGCCAAAGACCCGGGTTCGAATCCCCACATGGGTACAATGTGTGAAGCCCATTTCTGGTGTCCCCCGCCGTGATGTTGCTGGAATATTGCTAAAAGCGGCGTAAAACCAAACTCAGTCAGTCAGTCAGTCTTCCAGTTATATGTTAATTTTGGCTTGTAGCACTTGGTCGTCATATGAGCGAAATATTTTCAAGCACGACGTTAAACCCAATTTCACCTCAATTTGTAGCACTTGGATTTAGATTCCTACGTGAAGTTTAATGTTTAAAGCCTACTTTTGGAGTTGCACACAGTGAGGTTGTAGAATATTGAACTACATCACAGTGTGCCTCATGTAAATCTGTATAGCCCATCATCCACCTACATGAGGCATGGTGGAGACTATACAGTAATCTATATAGATAGTAATCTTGGAAAAAGGTTAAACAGGAACAATGTTGATGGATAGACAACTTCTTTATGTCTATTGCACATTGTGGTAATGTTCTGTCATTGTATGTTCCAGGAACATTGGGGGCGGTGGGGTAGCCTAATGGTTAAAGCATTGGCTCGTCACGCTGAAGACCCGGGTTCGAATCCCCACATGGGTACAATGTGTGAAGCCCATTTCTGGTGTCCCCCGCCGTGATGTTGCTGGAATATTGCTAAAAGCGGCGTAAAACCAAACTCAGTCAGTCAGTCAGTCCAGGAACATTGTGTCATCGTCTCTATATTCCAGGAAAGTTAAGGCTCTTGTTATGTGCATGCCAGTATGTTTAAGGAGCAGCTGATTGGATGTTGTTTAAAGCTATTCTCAGCAGTAATCCAGCTCTATGGCGGCAGTCTGTAAATAATCGAGTCTGAACCAGACATTCCAGTGATCAACAGCATGAGCATCGATCACATGTGTCAACCAAGTCAACTAGTCTGACCACTCGATCCCTTTAGTCGCCTCTTAGCACAAGCATGGGTTGCTGAAGATTGACCCGGATCTTCACAGGTTTTAAGGAACAGAAAGATTCCTGTTCCAGGAACACCGAGGTTAATGTTCGGTTATTGTGTGTATGTTTCAGGAAGTCGGCTCTACAAGTTTCATGTGTTCCAACAGAGTTTCTGTAATCTGTTTTTAGAGGAAATAGAACACTTTGAGAACAGCGACTGTCCTAAAGGTCGACCAAACACCATGAACAAATATGGGGTAAATTGCAAATTGCTTCAATAACATTTATTTGTATACCAAATATTCAGATAATTTATATGATCAGACATGTATACCTTTATGAATACCACATGCACCTGTTAGAAAGTTGATTGAATTTTGATGATGCACAGGGTTTGTATGCTTCAAAAAAACTAAAATTTGTGCATTTATCTTGAAAAGGCCCTACCTTCGTTTTAGTCATGAAAAAGGCCCAAATTAATCTGCCACCTAAAGGTTCTATATTTATCAAAACTTATCAAGGTGTGATTTTACAGGAAATTGATACAAACTGAAAATACTGTGACAGCTGGTGTTAATTAATCGCCATCATGAAGCAAAATTTTCCCACTGCAGCGATGTTGCTAAGAGTTAATCTCCTTGTGTGTATTCAACTATCTATATATGTGTTTCTATAGTTCCTTAAAATTGTTGATTGGGCCTTGAAAAGCCCCTAAAAGACCTTAAATTTGATGGTTGATTATCTGTCTGAACCGTGATGCACTAAAACTCTGGTTCCCATTCGCATTTCAGCTGTTGTAAAAAAGCACTCTTTGCCCTTTCTTCAACCATTTTGTATGGTAAATAACCATGATTCATTTTGACCCATAGCTATTTTAGCAGAAGTAACCACGTCCATTGTGTATGGTAAATAATCTTGACCTATTTGGCTCCATAGCTACTAGTATTTTAGCAGAAGTAACCATCCCCATTTTGTATGTAAATAATCTTGACCCATTTGTCCCCATAGATGTTTTAGCAGAAGTAACCATCTCCATTTTGTATTGTAAATAAGCTTGACCTATTCAGTTCCATAGCTATTTTAGCAGAAATAACCATCTCCATTTTGTATTGTAAATAATCTTGACCCATTCTGCTCCATAGCTATTTTAGCAGAAATAACCATCTCCATTTTGTATGGTAAATAATCTTGACCCATTCTGCTCCATAGCTATTTTAGCAGAAATAACCATCTCCATTTTGTATGGTAAATAATCTTGACCCATTCTGCTCCATAGCTATTTTAGCAGAAATAACCATCTCCATTTTGTATTGTAAATAATCTTGACCCATTCTGCTCCATAGCTATTTTAGTAGAAATAACCATCTCCATTTTGTATGGTAAATAATCTTGACCCATTCTGCTCCATAGCCACTAGTATTTTAGCAGAAATAGCCATCCCCATTTTGTATGGTAAATAATCTTGACCCATTTGTCCCCTCAGCTATTTTAGCAGAAGTAACCATTTCCATTTTGTATTGTAAATAATCTTGACACATTCTGCTCCATAGCTACTAGTATTTTAGCAGAAGTAACCATCTCCATTTTGTATGGTAAATAATCTTGACCCATTTGTCCCCATAGATGTTTTAGCAGAAGTGACCATCTCCATTTTGTATGATATATAATCTTGACCCAATCAGCTCCATAGGTATTTAAGCAGAAGTAACCATCTCCATTTTGTATGATATATAATCTTGACCCAATCAGCTCCATAGGTATTTAAGCAGAAGTAACCGTCTCCATATATTTTATACGGTGGTGGTCTGTAAATAATCAAGCCTGGATCAGTCAATCCAGTGATCAACAGTATGAACACTGATCCAGGCAACTGGGATACGATGACATGTGTCAACCAAGTCAGCGAGCCTGACCAGCCGATCTTGTTAGTTGCCTCTTACGACAAGCATGGGTTGCTGAAGACTAATTCTAAGCTAGGTCTTCATGGGTCCACGATTGAACACGGTGAATATTTTATTCCACAGTATGAAATCAAGCAATGTCAAGCACTTTTCTCTGCACTTTCAGATTTTACTGAATGAGTTAGGATTTGACGAAGACTTCATCATTCCCTTGAGAAAACATTACCTGAGCCCCATCACATCCATCCTCTTCCCAGACTGGGGCGGAAATGACCTTGACTCGCACAAGGCCTTTATTGTGACCTACAAACTAGGGGATGACCTTGACCTCAGCTATCACTATGACAATGCAGAAATCACTTTGAACATTGCTCTTGGGAAAGAATTTACAGGAGGGACTCTATATTTTGGTGATATGAGAACAGAAAGACGTACAGACAGATATAGTCGGTATGACCATCAGCCAATGTTTGGACTTCTTCATAGAGGACAGCACCTTCACGGAGCAATGCCTATCGAGGATGGGGAGAGGTATAACTTGATTGTCTGGATGCGGTCCTCAAGGGTTCGGAACCAGAGGTGTCCAATGTGTGATGATGAACCAGATTTAGTGGAGGCAGTAGGCTTTGGAGATGGTTTTACAAGAGAGGACTCTGTGGTTGATGTGTGCACAGCTTCTTAGGGGAATCATTTACATGTTATCATCTGATGTTACTGATTGGCCTGAGCAATCGGACTACTTTCTTTGCCTTTTTTATGTTTTTTAAGGGGCAGTGGGGTAGCCTAGTGGTTAAAGCGTTGGCTCGTCACGCCGAGGACCCGGGTTCGAATCCCCATATGGGTACAATGTGTGAAGCCCATATCTGGTGTCCCCCGCTGTGATGTTGCTGGAATATTGCTAAAAGCGGCGTAAAACCAAAACTTTGCCTTTTTCTTCCCAAGTTAGGCATGATGAAAAACACAGAAAACAGATCACTTTCGAATTGAGCAAGTGAGTTTAGTTTTACGCTACACTCAGCAATACATATTCCAGCTATATGGCAGTGATCTGTAAATAATCGACTCTGGACCAGAAATCCAGTGATCAACAGCATGAGCATCTATTTATGCAAATGGGATATGATGTCAGCCAAGTCAGCGAGCCTGACCACCCGATCCCGTTTGTCATCTCTTGCGACAAGCATGGGTAACTGAAGATCAGTTCTAACCCGGATCTTCATGGGTCCCAAAATAAGGGGGAGTTGTGGTAGCCTAATGGTGAAAGAGTCCGCTAGTCACGCTGAGAGTCCTGGGTTTGATTTTGCACATTTGTGGTTTCCCCCACCGTTATATTGCTTGAATATTGCTAATAACAGAGTAAAATCATACTCACTCACTCACTCACAAAGTAAACTGTTACAGAGATGTGCCTGTAATAAATTGTTTTTTGTCCAGACACAGTAATTGTATGTATATTAATTTTGTTTGAAAACAAGTACATAGAATATAAAATCTGTGTTGATTGGCTTGACAAAATGTTTCAATCTTAATATGGGAACAGGATTTAACTGATTGTGTTGAAGGCTTAATAGTGTTATGGTCTTGATTTCATATATCCCGTATGTCTTAAAATGTTGGATTTGTATGGACATGCTCCACATATTGTAAAATCTGCTAATGTAAAAGTGTACCAATTGTCTTTAATGTTTGCTGTTACCTTCTGTTATGTACCAGTAAGTACAAATTTTTCCTTATCCTGACTCATGCTCTTTTGCTTGTCTTCTTCTTCTTGCGAACACAGTGGAACACTTGTATCTCCCTACTGAAGCTCCCTTCAATTGAAACATACGTAAAATCACTAATCACTACTCACCAAGAGTTGCCCCTCTTTGCTTCCACTGGCGGGAAAGACGGCGCCACCGTGGCCCACATGCTTCACTCTCTCCTTCTTCGCCCAGTGAGCAGGATGTGAGAGCGCCTGTGTCTCCCTACACACTATATCCTTTGATATTTCTTACTTAGTTACCTTATAGAGGTTTAGCTAGTATCCTTCAACAATATATTTTGATAATTATTCGTATTTTCTGCTGTTTATTCGCGGTGTATGCCGTGATTGTTCAGTAGGCTACGTTCATGAAAATCTGTACTGTTTGCAAGTTACGTTTTTTCTGCTGCTGATCCGCATTTAATATGCCATAGTTGTACTGTACCATGTTCCTTCAGTTCACGTTGCAGTTATTGTAATAATTTATCTAATTCTGCTTTTAACAAATATTTACTTTGCGTCTTGAGACACGCAGCAGATAGGTCACGTAAGCTACATCCAGGAATGGATAATGCTACCGAATCCCTCTCAAGTCAACTGCTGTAGGACGACCCCCTCCCGTCTGGTGTTCCCGCTGGAGTTTCCTTCGGAGGAGAGGCGTGGGACGCAGTCCGCCGTCTCCAAGAAGCGTCCTGCATCACCAGACATCCCGTAGTCGCAGCCTAAGACTAAGAGGGCATCTACTTCTCAGCGCACCCCCAGGGCAGCGTCTACCACCAAGGGGAAACCAACGCAGACCACACGAACTGCAGAACAGGGCCTGTATGATGAGCAGCTGCTCATCATACCCGATGTTCATCACAAGAAACGGCCGGTTTCAGCTACAGTGACGTCAGCGCAGATCCGCAATCAGTCCGATGTATCAACGCTGATGACTGATGATCTTCCCATGGGTCCCGTCGCTACCAACGCAGGTAGGGCAGCGCCTACATCTTCGCAGACCGTCCCGGGCGACCTGGTGCAACAACTAATGAAGTTGATGGAAGACCGCTACGGACTGGAGAAGAAACAACCAGCCCAGGGCCTGAGCCTTCGCGAAGGCTCCAACGTAGACGTCACCCCTGAGGGACCTCCCATCAACGTATCTGCTGCTACCAAGTCACCACTGAGGGACCAGCCTGCGCGAAGGAAGTCACAGCCTACCTCTGCGAAGGACCCAGACGATCAGCGTTCGCGAAGGCCTTCGCAAAGGACCTCTAGATCGTCACCTACCTCGGACTCCGATGATCAACGTTCGCGAAGGCCTTCGCGAAGGAGGATCCTCTCATCCCCGGACTCAGATCAAGCTTCGCGAAGGCCTTCGCGAAGGTCAAGTCGTCACTCCCCAGATGCGGACTCAGATGAAGCTTCGCGAAGGTCTTCGTGAAGGACACCAGTTACAGTCTCCAAGTCATCTTCGTACCGGAAGTCATCGTGGGATTCCCCTAGAGCTTCGCGAAGCTATCATCGTCGTTCACCTTCGCGAAGGTCGCCTTACAGACACAGCTCGTCGGGCCGTTCTCCACGTCGATCGTCCTCGCCATTCTCCTCGTAGATCTCCTCGTAGGTCTCCACGCAGATCGCCACGCAGGTCACCACGACGCTCGCCTCACAAGTCTCCGTGCAGGTCTCCAAGAAGGTCTCCGGACAGGACTCCACCTCAGTCACCATCGGAAGAGTATCATCGGCCTCTAATCAGCGATCCTGTTACTGAAGATGATGGAGGCATCATATTCTCTGAGGCGGAAATCCGTTACTGGATGGTCAACAACTTGGACTTGGCTTCACCTTCGAAGGACGATAATTCGGCTAACGCCTATCTTATGAGGGAGGACGACGCAGACACGATCACCCTACCTCCGATTGATCCTATAGCAACGGTTCCACAGAACCTGGATACAGCCTTCCAAACAGCCACTAAAGCTCGAAGCGCGCGCTTACCACAGTTCAAGCGCCAGAGAAGTTCTCTGCCCATAATATTGATCCCTTCCTTAAAGCACAAGAAATCGACGATAACTTTAAAGTCATCAACGATGCCAAGGCCAAGGCGTACAGGATCGAAGACCGCAAGCTGGTTCAAGTCGAGACTATGACCAGAAGAATGTTTTTCGGCCTCAACAGATCCAGCACTATCAACGAAACTCTCATCACTAGGTTTCGAGAATCCACATCAGAAGACGACAGAATGGTATACTCGGCCCTCCTTATGCAAAAGAAGGACCAACAGTTCATGACGGATCACCTTACATCCGTCTCCGCAGCTCTTACACTGGCTCGTCGTCAAGGTCTCCTCGCCAACTGCAGTTGGGGTGAACAGTTCACAACACCGCTCTACACAACCCCATGGACAACTCCATCCATCTTCGCTGGAGGAATCAATAAAGTCTCTAAAGAAGTCACTAAGGATTCAAGAGAAGTCCTCATGATTAAATCGATTGACACTCTGGCCAGCGTCATCAGACAGACATCACAAAGATATTCCGGAAGATCCAAGTTTACTGGTCTACAAAAAGCACGGGACAGGAAGATAACCAGCTTCAGAGGTGGAAAGGACTCTTTTCGTCGCCCATTCGGTAACTACAGGGGAGGATCTTGAAAAGGCAGGACACCCAGAGGCTCCCGCAACTATCGTCGATGAAAGAAAGGTTCGGAACGACTGGAGTCTTCCACCCCAAGCCGTCCCTATACAACCTTCACAAGTGGGTGGACGTCTTCAACTGCACTGGGAGAACTGGGGAATACTACAAGATCCATATGTCTCCAACATCCTACAACACGGATATCGCATCCAAATACTGGCCACGCCTCCACTTACAGTCAACCCTCACAAGTTCGACTTCAAGGCACAACAACTACTGAAGTTACGAGAAGCTGTTTCATCTCTCCTAACCAAGCAGGCCATAGAAATCGTGGATCAAGTAAACATCGAACCAGGTTTCTACTCCCCAGTTTTCCTAGTGCCCAAGAAAAATTCCAAGGAAAAGTTCCAACTCATCTACAACATGAGCACGTTCAACAGGGATTATCTACGCAAACCGCCAACGTTTCGCATGATACATCTACCTCAACTACTGCACCTTGTTCGTCCGATGGACTACATGGCCAGTATAGATCTACAGGACGCCTACCTGCATATCCCGATACATCCCGACTCGAGGAAGTACCTACGGTTTACACTAGACGGGCTACATTACCAATGGAAGGTCCTACCGTTTGGAATATCATCAGCCCCCTGGTTGTTTACAAGAATAACGAAACCCATCGTCACTTACCTACATCGTCAAGGGCTACGCAGTGCGTTCTACCTCGACGACGGGATTCAAGTAGATCAAGATCCAGAGCGTCTCAAACTACAGTTGAATTTCTCCATCAACCTACTAACGCAGCTAGGATGGTTAGTGAATCTACTCAAGTCGGTCCTAGAACCTACGCAAGATCTGCAGTTTCTAGGCATCAGATTTCTCACGACACAGAACTGTATCGTCGTACCAGAGGACCGATGGCTCAAGATTCAACAGACGATCCCTCAAGCCTTACTCTCTCTCCATTACCACTACGCCAGTGGCAGAGTCTGTTGGGTCTCTTCACGTCAGCACAAGACATGACAGCCGGAGGCAGACTACAGTTACGCCCATTACAGGTCCTCATCAACGCCCATCTTGACGACCTTCATCCCTTCGGTCTACCAAATCACCTCAGACCTCATCTACTTTGGTGGACCCAGAGGTCGAATGTTTGCGAAGGCATCTATTTAACAGAGCCGGAGTGCAAGACCCATCTCTATGTCGACGCATCGCTCCAAGGTTGGGGAGCTCATCTCGCCAACCGGACGGCAGCAGGGGTATGGAACCAAGAAGAGAGCAATCTGCACATCATCATGCTCGAAATGAAAGCAGTAATCAACGCCTTACTTCATTGGAGCACCATTCTACAAGCAAGGCTCAACAAGATCATTGAACCTACTGACTCTA